TTGTGTCACTGCGCGAGAGAAGCATCGAGGCCAGCATTATGTCCGGGCCGTTCAAGGGTAAGAAGGTGTTCATTCCTCGGATCGTCTTTTATAGTGAGGACGATGACAAGGAGTTTCCGCTCAAACTCAAGCGTAAGCAGTTCCCCGTGGTGTCAGCGTTTGTCATGACTATCAACAAGGCCCAAGGACAATCTATCCTATCTACTTGGAATCACCGGTCTTCGCACATGGCCAGCTGTATGTGGCTTTGTCGAGAGTTACTTCAAGGAAGGCGATCAAGATTGCTGTGGATCCAGAGGCCATCGATGAGGACGGGAACGTACACACCAACAATATCGTGTACAGGGAGATCTTTGGGACGCGGACTTGGTAGGGCACGTAATACATATAATACATTTTAGCTTTGATTTCAGAATGTTCTTTCATCCGCCGCAGCGCAGCGGAGGGGGACAGCCCACACTACACCAACCAACCATGCCCTAGCGTCCGCGGAGCGGGCGCCCAGACCGCTAGTTTCCCGCTCCCTAACCTTGTAGCCTGTCGGTCTGTCCGTCCGTCTGTCCGTCGCATTCCCCGTCTTGCTGCTTTTTCCTGCCTTTTCGCATGGCTACATCCGGCCTGGCTAATACAGTTTCGTCCCATCTTACCGACCGCGCCTACCTTTCTGACTCGACCTAAATATGCCAAAATTACAAATATATCCAAAAGCGTGACACAATTAACTCGCGCCCTGATTGGGCAATAGCTGCCGACCTGCGACACTGACTGGATCTGTCGCACGATCAGACCGCCTCTCGCCCTCGCGATTGGACGTAAGGTAAACATTTCTGCCGGGCACGAAACGCATCGATTGGTTGCAAACGACCAGGCGAGCTGCGCAGATACTTGATTATTGACATTTAGCTACGCAAAACCTGTCGTATGTACTGCAAATCGGTCACAGTAACCCCTTTATTTTCTAAGAGCTCTGCACACTTCTCAAATAGAAATATTTATTATTATTAATGTAGACTTCACAGACCAGTATTTTGTAAGAGCTCTGGGATGTTATTTTCCACACATCTTTCAAAGTAAAGACGATATTAATAGTATTATTATAATTAATATAAGCTTCACAGGCCGCATTTGTAAGAGCTCGGCGATGCTATTTTCCACACAATTTCTAAAGAAGAGACGACAGTATTTTTGAAATATTAAAGTAGGCTTCACGACCAGCGCTTTTTGTAGGGACTTCGCGAATATATATATTTTTAACTTCACCTGACACTCACCACTGCCACCGTGCAACGAAGGCGCGCGGCTGCACGGTCATTGCGCTACCTGCTCCCGTGCACCGCACCCGACGAATGCATGCCCGCACGATAGATAATTGTTTTAGTCAATTTAAATTGCATGTAAAGTATGTATTTGTTTGGAAATCTGATAATAACCCTCGCAAGTTGACCGTTCGAAACGTCAGGTACATTGAGCAAAAGAAGCAGCAGAAGAGCAGGTGATTTGGATATACATCCTTATAGCCCCTTACCCCGCATAGTTTTTGTATACTGGCTGACGGTGCAAGGCTTGGGGTCGCACATACTGTAAGCTGACTGTGGCGCTATCAAGCGTGTTGACGCGCCTATGGAGCGTAGCGCGTTTCATATAATAACTAGCACGAGATATGTACGGTGTACCTCTGCAAGCTGGCCGTCCCTATCTGCATACGCGTCACCGTAGATGGCACGTACACTCGCTCACGTGGGCTCACGCAAAACCATGATATCTGTACCATCAGCGCTTATAGCGTATATTGCACTAATTGGCGCTCACAATTTAAACCACAGTATTGAGTGGGAACTACGTGCGACGAATAAGCTGCTGTTTACATAGATACTACCACTGCGTGACAGTGCATACCGTACAGATGGACGTGGCAAGTCGATGTGTCTGAACGCAATATTGTACTTTAGTGTCCTGTCCATAATGACCGAGATAAGAGCTCGGTTGAGTCGCGGATGACTATAAGGTGTACCCACCTCGCGCGTATATATCGCGTTGGCTACTGCTAACAGACGCGCGTTCAGCATACCTGTATCGCTGCGGAATGGCCTGTGCCCAGTTAGTGACGCGCTTGATCATACAGACTAAAACATCAATAGCGTAAGCACAGAAAGCTAGCACGATGACGCAAACGTCCCGATAAGGAAACAGGGACCCCATGCATAGGTTGGGTATCACGAGCGCGTGGCAAATACACTCATTAACGACCTCGCGAGATATGCACGGACACATTAAATAGCACGCCGAGCTGATAAGTAGGCAGCGAAAGTACTCCATCTAATGTACATGAACTATTATTCAATTAAGGTCTAACCATCACTACGATCTGATACTCTGCCTACAGCCATATATCGTCGTATGTTGCAGCCGGTCAAAAGAATGTGCGCGCAGTGGTGCCTCTTCGTCCGATCTGGACGAGGCCTTTTGTCGTACATATCGGACCCAGTATTTTGTCAGTCGGAAAGGATTTACGCCACTCTGTCAGTCAGTAGCTTTACAAATAAGTCAGAAAGTACGTCAGCTATGCACGTAAGATCAATGCATGCGGAAGATAGTGGAAATACCCTTCAGTAACATCACAAACAGCTCAGCAGAATAATTTCAAAGCATAATATTGATGTTTGTGGCGACCATCGGCAAATACTACCTACCCTAAAAGATACTTCGCGCGCGGAGCTGATTAATATTGCTCTATTCGACCGTCGCAATCGATGATATGTGTCGACTGCCTCACGGCGATGACGTGCAGATGGGTAAAATGTGTGAGTAGGCGTATTTACTCTAGCTACACTGGGATTCCTCACCGATCTACGCATATTTCGTAGCATCACTGATACTGACATATCTTCGGAACAGCATTTGTTAGCTTTGCAGCCATGCGCGCCTCCAATTGGCGTCATTTTAGGAGCAATGCGCTTAAACGAGATTATAGACAAAACCTTCCCGGGTAAGATGGTGCTCTTCTTGCAGATCACGTTAAACCCTGGTCGTGTCTACCATAACATGTTAGCACTAAGGATACTGTGTGCGGTAAATCACAGTATACATGTACTATATGTTGCTTCGCTTTGAGTAGAAATTCTAAGCCCACCGCAGCGCAGCGGAGGTAGTCGGCCCTCTCTACACCAACCAACCATGCCCTAGCGTCCGCGGAGCGGACGCCCAGACCTCTAGTTTCCCGCTCCCTAACCTTGTAGCGTGTCTGTCTGTCTGTCCGTCCGTCTGTCAATCCGTCCGTCGCACTCCCTGTATTGCTGCTTTTTCCTGCCTTCCCGCATGGCTACACTCGGCCTGTCTTATACAGATTCCCTCCCATCCTAACAAGGTGCGCTGACTGTATAATAGCAGTAGGGTAGTTTTAGATGTATATGCATGTATGTACGGGCGTGGGGCTCCTTGCTCTTACTATATATT